TTAGACTGCTTATGTTTTACGTAATTACCTGATGAAGCAGTTCATGACAGAACAAGCAACTGTTCTGTCAACAGATAAAATCCTTAGGCAAATCCTGTTAGGAACCATGGTAATTCCTACTGGGATTACTTTGCTAACTGGTTTGGTACTGTGATCACTTAATTACTGATTTTTTTAATATTTGTTTTTAATACAAGAAGCAACTTGATGAGGATTGATGACCCAAGTGTAGCACACAGTGGAAACTGTAGGAATTTTTCCCCTTGAAGTATGTGGATTGTCCAGTTTGATCACCTATGTGTTGTTCCTTTCCCATGCTTTCCAACTAGTAGAAGTGCTTGACAGCCTTTTGGGCTGAATTTACCGCTACAGTCCAGGATCAAGATTTTTAAGAAATACCCTTGTTTAATTAACCAGAATTTGTGTAACAGTCATTCAGGTTAGCATAGTTCATAGTGTTTGTGTATTTCCTTACATTTTTCCTGCTGAACATCTGTAGTGTGGTGTCTATCCATACTAAAACTTGTTTGGTTGTTTTTTTTAAGGTGTTGATCCTATTATATGGGAACAAGCCAAAGTTGATAATCCTGATCCTGACAAGTAAGTCTCATAGTCTGTCCAAGTATTACAAAAAAACTTGGAAAGGGGAGAAATATACAGTATTGTGTTGTACCCTTCAGGTAACTTGTAAGAAACTTACTACAGAATAACTTTGTCAAGTGCTGATCTCACTTGAAGCAGTGAGGATTACTAGAAATGCCTGTTTAATTCCTTTACCCATTTAAGTACTTAAGGGTTATGAGGATAAAGAGTGAGCCTTATTGCATTACTTTGAGTTGTATTGTCCTCCATTTTATGGACTAGTTTTTGTGACTTATTTGTTTGCAACCATTCCTTTTTTTTTCTCATTATTCCTGCAGCTGAAAGTGATGTACCCTTGTACACTCCAGTGGTTACACTTAATTTAGGCTGATTTCTTTATGAAAAAGGAACAGGTGGTCAGGAATAGTGAGAACTCCAGAATTTAGCAAAACAAGATATGTTTATGTATTACCTTAATTTAGGATAGGCCAAGATTATATGTAACTTTATATTAGATTATATTGTAATTATTAATCCATACCATATGTCTAATATAAAAATGTGTTGTAAGAAATAATTCTATTCTTGTAGGCTTATTCCTGTGCCAATGGTGGGTTTCAAGGAACTGTTGAGAAGGTTAAAGGTCCAAGACCAGATGACCAAACAACATCAAACTCGATTAGATGTAAGGTTTCTCACCGTTATCATGACTGCTTGCTGTTGACAATAGATGTGCTATTAAATAAGCCTCCTGTTGTGTCTCCTGTGTGTTGAAAACTAGAACCATGTGCATGGGGCTGTGACTCTTTATCACCATTTCTTAATATATTCCTTAATTATATCTTTTGGCCAAAAAATGAGCAGTGCATTTTGGCTTTGTTTTTTTTCCAGGTTCAGGCTTGCTGTGTTGTTATAGGCTAATTCAAACCAGCTGAATTAAGTTGCACTGGCATGGGCTTTAATTTGGACACCCAGTTTTCTGATGCCTTCCCAGTTGCATATGAAAATAAATAGAAACCAGAAGAGTAGAGGTCTAGCAAAAAACTTTCTGAAGGCATTTCTGGCAAGGACTCTTTAGGTTGCTGGACTGAGTATTGTTCTGAACCTCCAGGTTTCAAATCAGGACTAATGTGTTCTGTTGCCAGAAACTTAAGACTTCCAACTGACTCCATCTCCTCTGCAGATAATATCGGAAGATATCAGTGAGCTGCAGAAAAACCAAACAACAACTATGGCAAAAATTGCACAGTACAAAAGGAAACTGATGGCGCTTTCTCACAGAACGTTACAGGTAACATGGATAGTCTTAAGTAACTAACTTGTTCTGACACAGAGTCTAGTGCCAGAAGGCAAACGGACAGGGGGCAGGATGACCTGTGCAATCTTGTGCATGGTCAATGTTGAAAATGAAATTCTGACTTCATCTAAGTGATACTGATTTAAGTAACAGACAGAGCTGTCAGGGGAAGCTTCAGGTGTGCTGCATGTCTTACTACTTTGGGAACCTGCTCTCTCACTTACTCAGAAGCTGTGGGACTGTCCTGAGGTCTTGGAGCAACAGACTAAATGACAGAACAAATCTGATGTGAGACATGCTGGAGGAAAGGCAAAAAGACATTTGGATGGGCTGGTAGGGAAAGAGATGGGCAAAGTGTTCTCTAATGAACCTCAAAGGCTTCTTTTGTAGGTGTTAATAAAGCAGGAGATCCAAAGAAAAAGTGGTTACGCCATTCAAGCAGATGAAGAGCAGCTTCGTGTACAACTAGATACAATTCAGTGTGAACTTAATGCACCTACTCAGTTCAAGGTGAGTAGTTAATAGAACTTTGCTAACAACTCTTTTTTCCTCACAAAAGAAGGTAAGTTTTCCAAACTGTGCATATATATTTATTGTGGAAAGCTTTCAGAAGAGAAGTCCAGCAGTGTTACTAGGTTGTAGCATCATGCTCTTTGTTGTGTGTCTGATAGGTATTTAAGTGTTGTTGAGTTCTTGGAAGTATTGGAGTTGCTTGCCCTTTGCAGTGTCTTCCAAAAAAAAAATTTAAAACTGGAATGAGTGGCAATGCTTCCTGCTCATGACTCAAGGAGTGGTACATGCTGGAGCTCTGACATATTGAAGGAGTTTTGTTTTGATTTAAGCCTGTTTCTCTTCCCAGGGCAGACTGAATGAGCTCATGTCCCAAATCAGGATGCAAAACCACTTTGGAGCAGTGCGAGCTGAAGAGCGCTACTACATAGATGCAGATCTCTTAAGGGAAATCAAGCAAGTAAGTATTATGGGGTAGAATCCTGAGAAACTCTTTGAACTTCGTAATTTAGGCCAGCTACGCACTACCTTGGGAGATGTATCTAGAATATCATGGTTTTGCAATAGTTTGAGGAAGTTATAGTGCATCAGGGTATTGTACAAAACCACTCTATGCAGTTAGGCTGTTAGTGCAGAAAATGCTGGTTTTCCTTCTTCCAGAGAATTTATACCAGGCTTTTCAGTGTGCCAAGGCTGCCAGCCATGGCACCTTTGAGAACTGTTACTTAAAATCTGTAAAGTTGAACTGTGCTTACGCTGGTTTTTAAACTATCATCTGCAGCATCTGAAGCAGCAGCAGGAAGGCCTGAGTCACCTAATTAGCATTATAAAGGATGACTTGGAGGACATCAAACTTATAGAACATGGGCTGAATGAGAGCATTCCCATCAGAGGAGGAGTCTTCAGTTGACATGGTGGATGCTGCTGAGCTTACACAGAACACATTACTCGAATTCATGATTCACCTTCCAAGGCTAAAACTGTTGAGGTAAAATAAAACCTGTATCTTGGAGCAATGGTATTTTGGCTGTTATCTTTACAATTATTAAAGCCTCTTCTAAGCTTTTGAACTTGACCTTTGGAAGGTTTATATTTTATAAAGCTGTATATGCTTTAATAAAAGAAGGAAAACTGAATCTGTTCAGATACTGGTTTACTATAAAACTATATGTACTATTGTACATTTTTTTTTTTCTTTTTTTACAATGGCATTGTTCTAGAAATGCAGTGCCAAGGGAATTGTTCCACTTGTGATTTGGTTTGTGGAAAGCTTAGTCTGCTTCCATGATATTGTCAAAACAATCAAGTAACATTATGTAAACAGCTAATTTAAACTATTACAGATATGTATGTTGCTGTAACTATGTCAGTCTCTGCAATACCTGTAGTTTACTGGGGCAAGCTCCAGGAAATTGGTGTTTCCAGTTTGTCCTTCCGTTGGACTGTGAGGATCTGAAGGTTATGTTTTTGTCACTTTACATATGTGAATTATACAAAACTTTGCTGCCCCTTAAATAACAACAGAATGTCTAGACGTTGTCTTCTGCCTTTTTTTTTTAATTGCCGGAGAATAATAAATTCAGTCTGACTTTGTAATAACTTGTGCATGGTGTTGGCTCTTTCTCAGCTACATCAGCAAAGCAGTGAAACTGCTACCAACTCCAGGCTCCTGTACTTTGCTCTCCTCCAGGCGCTGCAGGTAACAGGCTGTCCAACCTGGTGCCACAGAGCTGCTTGACAGCCTCAGCCCCCAAACTAAAATACAAGGTCACCTCCCTTAGATCCTACCTGGTACCAGATCCTGCAGAGCAGGTGGCTACTACATGCAGGGGAGAGGCAGCTTTTGTTTTTTTTCCCCAAGTTGCCTTTTTTCTCATTACAAAAGACACTGAAAATAACTGAAAGAAAAATACATTATTCTCTGCAGTAGGAGTTTATACAGCAGAAAACTCAAACACAGGAGAGACAGAATCATTTTGTTAATTAGCTAAAAAAAAATCCATTCACTAAATTTGAAATATAAAAAAATAGAAATTGAGCCTCTGTTGTGTAGTTGAGAGAGTAGTTTTGCAAGGACAGTTCTATTACAGATGAAAAAAGTATAGGTGGAGTGCTAATGAAGCGGGAAAAGGATTAGTTTCTTTTTGGGAGCATGGTTCCACTAATAATATATCTCAAATGTGCAATACAGGCTCCAGCAGAGACTCTTCTAACAATTGGAATAAGGCTAGAATTCTCTTTTTCAAGGGCCATGGTAGCAGTCTAAGTGAAGTCTTCTACCACTCTGTCCCTGCTCAAGTGCCTATGCTGTGTGTTTGAGATTTTTTTTTTTAAGCTGCAGTTGTACCATGCTTTGAAAATATCTTGCACATGCAGCATAGGCACTCTAGCAGGGGACTACTTGATCTACTACCTGGGCCTTTGAAAAAGAACCAGTCTCAATAGATCTCTTTAAAAAGCCCCATGCTAGGACAGTTTCACATGTTTGAGATTGTTTTTTTGAAGTGTTGCTTACCACAGCAAAGGAACAACAGAGGGGAAATAGATATTAGCTCTGAAAGCACTGCTGCTGACCAAGTAGACAAACTAGAGAAGGCATGAACAGCCCAGAACGAGTAATCTAGAAAAAACTTTATTAAAAGGAAGGCTCTGCTCTAGCAGTTGCTTCTGAGTTAAAACGCTGCCTACAAGAAATACCTTTACTTCCATTTTCCTACACTTGAATAGACCTGTAACATTTCATCACATGCATTGACAAGATAAACTAAGTCGAATCTTCCCTTTGAGCAGGAATGTCTACTTAAAACAGCTCCTTTTTAAAAATGGCCAGAATTGAAGTGCAGCTTATCTATTTTACCTGTTACCTTCCCCAAACGGATCAGAGCTCTTGGCTACAGCGGTCACTGTTTTCAACCAATAAGTGCTACAGGTACCTGCCTTCCCTTTCCCTGCTTCGCATCTGCAGGCACGCTCTGCGGTGAGGGAGGAAGCGGTCCCCCTGGCTTCACAGACAGTCAAGGCATTGGACATGGCAACCCTCACCAGGTTCTCACTACTGAGACTGTTTGACAAGGCGGAAGGCTTCTAGGAACTCATTGAAGTCGATGTTTCCATCCTTATTGAAATCAATGCTGCGAACTAAGTCGTTGATGCCGTCGTCTGTGAGTTCAATGTTCATGTGGGTGCTGAACAGCTTCCAGGTTTGGCGGAATTCCTCAAATGAGATGAGGCCTGTGGAGAGGGAAGGCACAGACACTGCTGTCAGTCAGTCCCCACTCAGCATGCAAGGAGGGACCCCTGCTCAGGTCTGATCTCTCATCCCACCCTTGCTGCCTGCATACCCTAAAGGAAGGAGGGAAATTGCTCATAATCTACAATTCATATGCTGCAACTAAATCTCCTAGCAGGGAAAATGCTGGCTAAAATACAACTTAAAGCAGTAAAGAGACACAGTACAATCTGGGAGAACAAAAAGAAGGCAAAGACTATTTTATTTTCTGTTTCCCGAAGTAATTTGGCAGAGATAACTGCTTGAAAGCAGGTAACACTGAAGATCCCAAGTACACTGCATTACTGTCATTGCTCTCATCACAGTTTTTGTTCTGCTGAACTCTAGAACAATTACTAATTCTCTACCTGGACTGCACACAGACCTTCAAAATGCACCACGTTTGTGGAACTGTTTAATGACATTTCAGAAGCTTTTGAGGGAGAAGAACGCAAGCTGTGACCCATTAAATAAAAATGCCTTTGTACACACTAAAGGGAGCCCAGAAGTAGAATGGAATACAATGCTGTGACCAACAGCCCCTGCACGCCACCTTACCTGAATGATCTCTGTCTATAATCCTGAATATGGTCTCCAAGTTGGATCTGTTTCGATAAATGACTTCCAGCAAGCTCGACTGGATGTGCTGAAAGACAACATGATCACACTCTTTCTACCCTTCTGACAGCTCTCTGCTTTCTCTAAGCAGTTACTGCAGACCTTCCCATAAATGAAAATGTTTGCTGCTCTCCAAAGTTTGCCAGCAATGCACTTTGCATCCTGTGTGCCCTCTGAAACAGGTTTGTGGTGACTGGACCCTCTGTGCAGCTCTGCCTTACAGCACATCAGCAACCTGTTGCTTCCAAACAGAGCTTTTCTGGGCTAACAGAGAAGACAGTGACTTAAGCTATGCTTTTTAACCCCGCAGAGTTGTTTTTTCTGGGTGTAATTTAGGAACTCTGACTTTGAGAATGGAATATAGTTTTTGTATTCAACAGCCTGCATCCAAAACTACCTCTAGGTTTTGGTTTCATGTGCATCATCTATTTCTACAGTGGAATGAATGCCTCTGGGCTACGTGAATTCATGCAAGCTTTTCCATTGACTTCAGCATGATTTTGGATTACACAGGAACCATCCACTCTGATACCATACTCGGTTCCACAGGTGGGGGGATCTGGTGAGCTGCTTTGCATCATGCTTTGATGGAAGGGGTTGAGTCCTTACCTCTTGGCTTCGCTGCTCCATGGCCAAGTCGTCGAGCCAGGACTTGTATTCCAGCATGCCATCAGCTGTGCTGCGCACCAGCTGTGGTCTCAGCATTCGCCAGGGCAATCCCAGGTGCAAGACTGACTCCACTGCCATCGCCCAGTTGTTCAGTGAAATCTTTCCTGTAAGGAAAAGGGAGAGCCATGGAGACCTCTGAGAGATGGGCAGCTGAAAGCACATGAACGCAAAGTAAAAAGCCCAGGGTATGTGTGTGCCCAGCCTACCATGGTGCTGACAGCATGGCATTACTTCTCCATGGCACACTTGAGGGCTTTGGTAGAGGGAAAAGCCCTACGTGGCTGTACAGACATCAGCCACTGCAGACACAAGCGCGCTTGCTGCTCTCCCCATACAGCTTTTGAACATTGCAGCAAATCGGGGCCATAGGGCTGCAAACATCTGAACAATGGGAAGACAGTAACTTTGGATATTTCATTATAAATCTGTGGCCTGCAGCCAGGGTCACCCTGCAGATTGTGGCCTGTGCAACTGCACTAGTACTTCCTCAGCAACCCAGGAACATGGAAAAGCCTCTAGTTTAGCAGCTGCTGTAACAGCTGAACTGGACTTTGGTGAACAATTTTGCTACCAGGGAAGAAAGCAGTTCTACCCACAAGACAGCAATCCTGCCAACCGCTGTGTTCCTTTTCTTCCCCAGACCACACATGGACAGATCTCAGCAACAGGTCTTGGTCGCTGCACCAGCAGAGCACTTCTGTCAGCCAGAGAGTTATCAACTCTTGGCTCCTTCCTTAAGGCTCTGACAGCAGCAGCTGCTGTGGAGGACATCCTTCGCTTTCCTCTTCCCAGTGATTTTAGACTCCAGGGATGACAGGGCTCTGGAGACCACCCAGCCCTTCCCAAGCGAGATGACAAACATGGTCCAGGTTGTCTTTTCCAGTGCTTCATGGATACTCCTCTTCCAAAGGGTTCTCCTAGTACCAAGCCTAAATGGCTACACATTAGGCTAATCACCTCTTGCTTCTCTCCCAGCCCCCCATTCTTATGCCACTCTGAGGCATTAACAGGTTCCCAACAGAGCCACAGAGAAACAGCAGACAGGACCAGTGCTCTAGAAAGGTCTGACACAGCCTCTCCATGGGACAGTCACTGTCAACTACCAGTGAGGAGTCTCCCAACCAGCCACACATTCGGCCGCTTCAATCCTGTCCTAACAGGGAATTAACCTGAGTGTCCCTCGGCTCAGATTTACCTGTGTTGTCCTTATCGTAGGCCTTGAACGCACTGATGAGGGCTGAGGTGTGAGCAAAGAGCTTTTCCCGCAAGGCTCGAAAGGCTGACTCCTCTACTCTGCTGATTCTGGAGGATGCAAAAAAGAGAGAAGCACGTTAAGGACTTGCCACGAAGCACAAGAGAAGCTGCACCTGCCCAATACTCTGGCCTGTCCGTGGATTGTCTAGACCCTCACACAACTGCTCTGCACAGCTGCAGCTGCATCTTGGTGCACATGACAAGGCACTGCATGCCTGGATCACAGGTCTCCAAAGTTGATGCAGTGAATTCCCTGCATCAATTTGTGAAGTAGCAAAGCAGAAAGGGTCCACAGTTAAAACTTGACATTGAAAGGAGAAGCTGGAAAATCAGCAGTCTGTAAAAAAAGAGTCCCCTTCTGATCTTGTAACGCTTCCTCCTCAACCCCTGAGCCTCCCTCAGTGATTTCTGCACAAAGCTTGAATCCTCCTCTAGTGCTATTATTTAGTAAATCAAGCTGTGAAAGTTCAGCTCCAGAGTCAAACTTTCTCAAAGCTTCCAAATTTTTCCTATTTGGAATTTTGACTTGGTGAATACAGAGCAATTGGAAAGCCTTGCCTTTGGGTCATAGTGAGAGTGTGGGCTGTCTTGCTTGCTTGGTACTGCACAAAATGGGGGACGAGGTCTGGTCCCAGTTTCACATAGGCTCCTCTGTTGCTGCCAATCTCATAGTAGTTTGAGGCTGAAAATATGGTCAGCACCTAACCCCAAAAAGAGAGAGGCATTTACAGTCAGTACATACAGCCTGTGTTACATATACATGGATCAGTGAAAACAACACAACCGATCCCATATGGAGTCAACAGACTGAGAAAGCACCGTGTTTGATGTGGAAGAGCGAGGTGGCAGCTGGCCTGGAAGCCTTGAAGTGTGAGTTCCTCGATCTCATGTCGATCTGGCCACATGCAGGGTTTCTGTGATTTCACTGTACTCTCCTGACAAACTTCCACTCTCCACTGCAGTGAGCGGAGTCAAAAGTGCCCTGTTGAAGTCACTGAAGTGATCCTGAACCCTTCTGAGAGCAAAACGCTTCTGCAGCAGGTTAGTAACACCCTTTTGCAGATCATCTTCAGAAACAGCTGCATTAAGCAGGGGTGAAGGCACAAATGGATTCAGGGGTTTTCTCAGCTACCACATACAAGGATGTGCTTTGCCTGCACAACAGATGACCCCAACAGAGTAGGTGGCTCCAGACTGTCCTGACCTAAGACCTCAGCTGGGAACACGCTTCAGTAACTTGCAGTAAGGCTGTTCAACAATTTTGGATATACGTAACAAAGCCTCACTGGAAGAAATGGGGAGCTGAGACAAGCCACCACAGAAACCCTGCCCAGGGTGGATGGAGACCCAAATAGCCTTCATGCTGAACCCCTCACTGACCTTGCGGTTGTGACAGAACTCGTAGCCCTCTTGCTTGCACTCATGGGAGCGGATGAGGAACTGCAAGTTGTACTTTTCAAGGATCTTGTCTGTCACATCAGGCCCGAAGTAGCAGCCACCACCTCGCACTGTATTTACTCTGCAGCCTTCCTGAGGCATGGGGTCACTCCAGAGAATGTCTAAAACCTGAAAAGATTGAAAAAGTTCACTGAATAAAGTGTACCCAGCAGATACCACCCATCAAAGTTTACTAAGCAAACAGAGCTCTCTGAATCCCTCCCTGGACTGCTGCTATTACCATAGCACAGGGGAATAGAGAAGTTTCCTGCATAGCAGCTGAACCACCGTACTGCTCCACAGGACTGTCACAGACCTGATCCACCCGAGAGGTGACAGTAGTATTGGCCTGGAGCTACAGGCACACCCAAAGTGCCTGGGAGAAGAGGGTGTACATAAATCAGGCCTGATACAAGATTTCCCTTTGCTGCCTCTGAGATTTCAAAGAGCCTTGCTTGTCCTCCATCCTGCAACACTGGTCCCAGGGCAAGAACATCCAGCAGATCCTGAGGCCATGAGCCAGCTTAGTATTAAACTTCTTTGCTCACTAGCCAGGACATTCCACAGCCTTCAGAAACGTAAGTAAGTGCTGACTCAGTAACCACTATTTGGATTAAAGTTTCATCTCTTTAACCCTGACCTCAATATATAGCTTTATGCTGATAAGGTGTGCAATGCTGGGATGTCATATGTAATGTGAAGTAAGTAACGGTGGTTCTAGAGCACACAGAAGGGGCTTACAGACAGACTGGTCTAACATAAACAGAAACCCAGATTCCCAGGCTCTGACCCACCTAGCAATCTACTCACAGTACAGCCCAGCTAAAACCACCATTTCAGTCTGCTCTTAGTACTCAAGATCACAACTCACTCATCAGCAAATGACATTGCTCATTCATTACCTACAAAGCTGGCTTCAGATACCCCACATACACAGTAAGCGATATAACCACTGGACTCTACAGTCACTCTTGTCTATTATTTCTCTCCCCTGCAGTGAATCAAGAAAACCTGTCGCCCAACTCTATGCCTGAGCAGCAGTTCTATGTATAGAACAATGGATGAATACTGGGACAGAGCCTTGAGCACAGAAAGCCAAAAGCCCAGTGAAGATGCTGACTCATAAGGATAGGAGAAAGGCTCCAGCAGAACAGCAGTTAGTGCCAGTCTTGCACACAGCTTACGTTCTACGCGACTCGTGCACAGCTCTTCAGTTGCTAGGGGACCATGCCACAGGATGGGCTGGAGGTAGCACAGGAACCTAACGAAACGTCCCCAAGCAGCAGAGATCACATGCGCTCAGTACAGCCCTTCCTCCCCACTTACTGCTGAATGATCAATGCCAGGCTGTTTCAAGGTACAGAGCAGCAGGTACAAAATTGTACAAACCCCATAGCCTGCCCGCTTCCACTTCAACACTGAGTTGCTCCTTAACTGCATTATATGAAGCAGCAAAAATCTCTGCAGAGGTCTGTGCGCTGACACACATATTTTGTACTGAGATTCCTTGTAACAGAACAAACCTGCAGGAGACACCCACAGCCCACCGAGCTCAGGGCCCCACTTTGACTACTCGCCTGCTTCCACTCTTCCTGGTGAGTCCAGCACTGCGTATCCAGTTCGGTCAAGGAGACCACGCTGGAATAGGTGGGCTCCTCTGTCTCTGACTCGCTGTCCACCAGCTGGCGGCACCACTCGATTTGCTCCTGCACCGTCTGCCGGAGCCACTTGGAAAACTCCAGCCTGTTGGTTATGCTGGGAGCCGCCCGGGGCTGCGAGGATAAACTGAGGTCTGACTCACTCTCTGATGACTCGGTCTCTACTTTGCTCTCCCCGTTTATTTCCTGTATTTCCACATCTTTGTTCGACTCCTTTCTTTTCTTCTCTCTTAATACAGAAATAAACTGAAAGAGAGTAATAAATGATAAGAGAGAAAAGAGAACTGGTCACACCACTTGGAAACCTACATCTCCAGCTCTAACATCTTCCACTGATAGACTTGAGTGACCCAAGCCTCTGAGCCTCAATTCTCTTTGCTGCCATCAAATGCTGATTAACTGGGGAGATTACTAGTGCCATCTTCTCAGATGTGCCATTCTTGGTTTACAGCTGGGACCCCACATCCATCCTGACTATAGATCTATCTCTTCTCCATTGAGTTTATGCTGCTCAGACATTTCACAAAAGGTAGATTACATGGATTTAATCTACAATGGGAAGTAGGTGGCAGAATGAGGGAAGGGCTCATGACTAATGCAAGTGCTTGCCATTACAGTTGGAGAAGGGAAGTAGTATTTCTCAATTAGAAAGTGAGGCAGAGACAGGTTAAATGACCTCAAAAATCCTTCTGAAAATCTAGTGGGAAAAAACAGTCTAAGGAACTCTGGGACAAAGTCTCATCATCACTGCTTTTACAGTCAGCACCAGCCCGTCTAGCCATGCCTTTACCCACCACTTCCCTGGCTACAATCCTTACATGTTCCAGAAGCCAACATCTCTTCACACCTCCTGCACACACACTATTAAACCAAAGGACTCACTCCAAACACAGTTTGTCTAGACCGTCCTATGTATTTGTCCTGTCAACAGCCAAGTTGATATGAATAAGCTTCTCACCACAAATCAGCAACACTGTTGTCTTGTAGTATCTAGGAAACAAAACCTACTTTGTTCCTTTGAATTTTCTGAAGCATGTCCAGGTCAGTGGTGTCAGAGATGCCCCCATGTATAATGAGGACTTTCTGATCAATCAGGGTGGCCAGGGGCAGCCAGCAGAACACATTCTGAACCATCTTCAAGATTTTCTTCCCATGCACCTAGGAGGGCAGGTCAGAAAGGAAAAGATGAAGCATCAGCTTTCAAAGTCCACGTCTTACATGGTGAAGGAGACACAAATGTATGCCTACCTTGTATTTCTGCATTACTTCCTTGGCAAAACCATAGCTAAAGGAACAGGAGAAGAAGTTCAGTGGGGTTCCGCAGCCACACCCCTGACATTGCAGTCAGCCCCACACAGAGCCCGTACCGTAAGTTGACCATGTGGTCCTCATGGTTCCCACGGTTGAGATGAACCTCCTTTGGATAGATCAAGAGGAAGGTGAAGAGGACGATGAGGATCTCAAGGGACTGTTTGCCTCTGTCTACGAAGTCCCCATTGAACACATAGGACTTGGAAGGGGAAGGAAGGCCATTCTGCAAAAGCAAGGAACCAGCAGATATTACAAGAGAGGCCTCCCCATGACGTCCATATACCTCCCCCCATCCCAGATGCACATTCTCTCCTGTCCCAGATCACCCTGTACAGTGGATCATGACTTTTTATCCTGTAGGCTCCCAGTGGCAAATGCACTGAAAAGTGAAAGCTGGCAGTCAGGAAGGGTTGCCATTGGTATCATCACTTACAAAAACGTCCACTGGCACTTCTCAAATGTACATGTATATCAGATTTCAGAGTCAGCAAGGGAGTAAGCTGCTGCTTTGTGAAGCCATTTAAAATGGATCCAATTGACCTGGAGAAGTGCACATGAAGTGCCCAGTTTTGCAAACACTTCTCAGCACGACCCATGCAATACCTCTCACAATGCCTGGTTGTTTGCTGATTAAGGATACCAATTAAACTCAGACACCAGAGTGAAAAGAGTAGGCGTAATTTACTGGTGATAACCAAATGATGTTACAGTGTAATACAGAAGACATGCAGTAAGAAAAGGCAGAATAGTGGACCTAAAGCAACAAACAGGAAAATACAGGGTAATGCATCAGATCACTACTACCTGAGAGAGAGAATAGTGATTAAGAAAGATCCATCACCACTTGCCTACTTTACCATCACCCAGCCCTGCAGTGGCTGGGCAGCCCCGGTTGCAGTGAGGATCTGGAGAGCCTGTCCCCGCAAGTGGGAAATCCTAGGCAGTGCGTCCACCCATAGGTGAGGCTTCCAAAGTCACTGCAAATGGGCCCAGCCTTACATACTAAAAGTCAGCAAGCCAGAATAGCTGGCACCTTTGTTTTGAGCGGAAAATTTCTGGTTTCATTCTCCTGTTGGATTCCACCCCAAGGCCTGCCCAGCCTCCATCTCCAAATACAGTGCCTACCTTATAAAATATGAGGAACAAGTCATCCAGCTGGCCGTGCAAGTCTCCTAACAGGCACAGAAAGACAAGGCACAGTATGTTTACCTTTAGCTTTAGAAGACACCAATAAATAACTTCCTATGAAGTATCTCCTCTATAAATTAATGACCAGTGAAATATTTTGCAAAGTTCAAGGTAGAAGTTTACTTACGCTGAGGCAAATGTGCCTGAAAGAAAAGGACATGATGTAAAGGCTTGAGCTGAAACCAGAGAAGGACAGCAAAAAGCCTACACCAACTTCTGAAGACTCTGATTCAGAAGCTGTGTTCATTTATCTCTTATGATGACACAACATGGCACAAGAAACTATTTGACTTTGATCATTACATGGGAGAAAGATTTGCATACAAAACAATAATCGAATTAATTTCTCATTTAACATGATATTGGAGAGAGAGGTTTGTTTTTCAGAAGCTGACTGCACTCAGAATTCTGTACTAAGTACATATTTTTCAGAAATATCTCAAAGTTTCAACATTGGAGCTACAGTAGAAAAATAATGGTGAAAAGCTTCGCTTCTTTTAAATTTTCTTGACAGGATGCAAACACCTTCCCTCATCCTGTTGCAGATGAAGCAGAAATGGGGCCACGATACAGATATGCTCCCTCCAGTCTCCACATTAGTCTTCACAGCAGCTCACATACAGCATCATAGAATAAACCCAGATTATTTTAGACAGCTCCAGTTGCCTCTCAATGCAACATGCATTTTGCTTACAGACTGCGTTTGTGTTCCACATTCACTACAGTGGACAGCATTATACTTAGGGTACCATTTTATGTCTTTCCCACCCACCCCTTCCACATGAGCGTTCTGCCCCAGAGACTGTGCAGTGTCCTCCCATCCAGACGTACCACACACAGTGACCTCCTCGCTGTAGCAGGTGGAGACATGACTGATGTTTGGCAACTGCTTGAGGTGCTTTCTGGTCTCATGCAGAAGGTTTAAGACATAGCGAGCATGGAGCTGCTACTAGGAGAAAGCGAAGGGATTAGAGCAGGAAATCCGTGACTTCTGAGCAGCAAGACAGCTCTGTCTGCAAAGGCCCCAAGGACCTACCACGATATTCTGCGTGGCAGAAACTGGGATGACACTTGGTGCTGACCTACAGGCTTACAAATACTGGGAAACACCAGGACAGAAGAGACTCACCCAAAGCAGCTCAGCCTTGGCACTGACAGGGCTGGCAAGAGAACCCCAAAGCCCTAGCACCCCGTGGTCAAAGCTGTATCTGCGAGGCAACACCACCTCACAGAGCAGCAGAAATTCCAGCCCAGTATCACAGGTAAAAATCTGCTCCTCGAGATCTTTCTTAGCCTTCTCCACGTTAAGCCAGACCCCTGAGCTGCGATGTGTCCTAAGAAATAGGTTCTCTCAAAGCCAGGATGTAGGCATTTAATATTAGTCAGGACACTAGAGACCTTTGTTTTAGAAGTCGTTTTGTTTGGAGAAGGGATGTTTTGGCCTATTTTGCAGTTCAGCACCTTGACTGAGGGATGGCAGCAGAACACTGCAACTGTAGAAGGACTTGTCTTGTTAATGCTGCTGAACTGGAACTGGACTCTCTCATCAAAAATCTCACATTTTACATTTTAAATATGAGTCAAAGTTGTGTGATACAAACCATGATTTTAATCACATGGCCCATTTCCATCTGGGCCATCCTGGATGTTTTTAGAAATTGAGGAACTGAAACACTTTCATTTTTTGTTGCAACATGAAGTGGTGTGGGTTTTTTTCCTTTCAAAATGAAATTCAGATTAATATTGGCACACATGAAAAGTTTTCAGTTTTATCTGTCCTACACCCCTGCATAGAGAAGGGGAAAGCGTGGTTCCTTTTGGGATCCTTACTTGTTTCTGTTTAAAAGCTTCCAGCAAGGCAGTTGCATGGTCAGGAAGGAGTGGGAAAGAGAGACGGGGTCCAGTGTAGGAGTCTGGCACCTCCATGGATTCATAGTCACAGTATTTTTCCAGCTCTGCCTCTTTGAAGCTTTCCCCACTTAAGAACATGCGGCTGATAAAATCTCCTGGATGGCAGGTTGGTCCGTTTGTTTGGTTTGTTTTAAAAAGAGAAAGACAAGAAAAAGTTAAGTTGGCACAATACACCATTCTAGTAATTTGCTAAAGGGAAGCTGTTTGGTTCAGCTAGAGCTCATGAGCAATGACAGTGGCAGAGCCTAGCTCCTAGTTTGACACCGCTACAGAATTTGCAGTGGGGAAAAGGCTGCCTGTGTTCTGTGTGTCAGGCAGTGTTGGCAGCTACGGTAGTTTCTGCAAAACTCTGGTAGAGCCAGCTGGACAGTGGTTGTCATGGCTAATTGAAATTTTATTTTCAATGACATGCAAAAGCAAACTGTATAATAAGGAACCATCTCCTACATCCCACCGTTTTTTCCAAGCTTGCACCTACATTCTCAGTGTGGCACAAAAATTGTAGAAATACACATTATTTTTTTTTATTGCTGTAACATCTCAAAGCCTAACTTAAGGAACAGGACATTATTGTCCTGTTTTATACAGACAATGAAAAAAAGTCTTCCTCAACAGAGCTTTGCTGTAAATTACATGGGGTGGTTTTGAGAAAAAGGATGGCAGTTTGAAAGGAAGGAGCAGGGACTTTAGCAGGTTATGGTCAGCAATGCAAATAGTTAATTTTCACTTACTACTATCAGGTTTCAGAGCTAAGCTCATTAGCAAGTTCCCAGCACTAAGAAATAACATATAATGCTCTCTGCAGATTCAGGAAGATACTCTATTGGGTCCCACAGCACTTCCCTCCCCCCAGCTATAATTGAGAGACTATAAATAAAATAGATACCCTCAAGGTAGATTCTCTTGCTTCAGAAATGGACTCTGCAAAGGCATCACTGAAAAAAGGCATCTTTCTAATACAGCTATTAGAAAAAATACTGAGATTTTATTTCCCTTTCCAGCTCCTAAGGAGCAGGAATTGCCCCACATCCCTTGTACAGCTCTGACATTCTCCAGACAGTTCACTCCCTATCCAAATTCCTGATGCCATCGTTCTTTAGACTCTCTTGGCCCCCTTCTGCCCTCCTGAAGGGCCAGCACTGGGCAGCAATTCAATGCAGGGTGCAACCTTCTGAGCTGCTGGTGCCACACCTACAAACAACGCATAGAAACTTACTTTCTTTACTGCTGCTTGGCGTGAAGTGGTCCATGAGGTAACTGAAGAAGTTGTGAAGCTGCAACAAGAGAGCAAGCCCATCATCATTCACCCTGGAATGAAATTCTGGAGAGTGGCAACTTAACATGATCTTCTTTCTGGAAGCATTATCCATGCCCTTCTCATATTCTCTGGTATGTACAACAAATCATACTATACCAATTCTTGTTTTGAATACTTTGTGATGAAGTCAAAAAAGTAGCATTACCTTTAGCTGTACAGACAGAAGTACACCTATAGTCCCTCCCTCTCCCTGCCTGATATCAAGGCAACCATATGAGAGAATATTAATCAAAGTTAAATTATAACAAATCAACTAGGCTTGCCTATTGTGTTCAGACCCAGGATAAACAATGTTAAATAGTCCTTAGGACTTTCTTTCAAGACTTATTACTTGGGTTTTCATCAGACATAAGCAGGAAGGAAATAATAGGCTAAAAAGGGGCAGGAAACCAGCCAGTAGCCAGAAACATGGGAGTCTGTGGCACAGAAACCACCCTCCTATGTATTTTCCTACATAATCTTGGCACCTTACCTTGATCTGATCCTGCTCACAAGCATATTCAATGGATTGAAAGATTCTCCAGGTGCAACGTCGGCGCATTTCCAGCCGAGCAACGTAGCGCCGATACCACTGTTGGATTAAGACGGCTGCCTTGAAAGCTAGGGACAAAAACAGAGCCAACCTGCTGAGCTGCAGTGGCTGCAGCTGAGGTACCCTGCTACCACTCCTTTCCTGACACTGGAAATTGAAGAGGGACCTTTCCTTTTCAGGACTCTTTTCAGGAAAAGTGTTCTGATGCCTAAATATTAAGCATAACAAAACACCTGCTTCTTTTCACCATATTGCAAGAGGTTGATCTGACCCTGCCTGACCAGACACCTCTAATGTAATTCTTACCATCGCTGCTGGTTCCTCAGCACCAGCATTAACAACAGTTTACTAGCGCTTAGAGATCCAAACACATTCTTCAGTGTTAAAAGACAACATCCTTCCTATCTACCTTGATCATTTTCATGTCCATCTTACAGTCTAGGTACTGGGGCTTCAGGAAACCAGAGGTTGGACTGAGGCCATAGAAAGTGTTGGGGAGAAAACAAGACACCACCAAGTCCCTTTCCAGATACTTAAAAATATGGGGTCTGTCTGCCTTCCTTTAAGCCAAATATGTCAGCTTTTGCAGTTCTGGGCAAACTTCAGAAGGGATCTATTCTAGCATAAATGTTAACATAGCATTACCTTGGAATAAAATAAAAAAAATTAGCACCCACTGTGAAAAGAGGGAGACACATCTTTCACCATTAATGACACAGAAGGAATGAAATGCCGGGAATTTCCACGGTCATGGTTCAATCCTCAGGCAGCACAGGCACCAGGCTCTCCCCTCCAAATGATGGCTGTTTGCCCTAGTCTTTAAAACATAACCATTCCTTTGCGTTTCACCAATTTCAGTGTTTTTCATTAAACAAATATTTCAGATGGTGTGCATATTTAAAGTGAAGTACACTGGTACAGTTTCCCATTTCCTTTTTCAAGTTGTGCCACAGAACTTTATGTACCTTTAGAAACTCTTCCATCCTCCTTAGCTGTTCTTGACCCCATCTGGACCTCCTGGTTACTTTACAGCACCTTGCCAACCAGCTCTGCTACTTGGCATTTCTCTTTCGATTACACTCTGTGTCCCTTCCTGTTCATTCCTGCAACACTGTTCATTCCCTAGAGCCCAGCATTTAAAACATTTTCTAACAATGCTTCTTTGTGTCATCTTTAGCTGAGAGAGGGATAACTGCTTTATCTACAGGTTGGCCCCAAAATCAAATGGAGATGACAGAGTTGCACAGCTAGCCCTGCTGCAAATGCTTGTATTCCCTTGGCATTTCTTTGTGAGAGGGCACAGTGTGTTCACCAAAGCAGGGAGAGCAATGGGGGTGTGGGGTGGAAGAACTTTACTGAAATGAAGAAAATCCCCCAACCCCTACCCAAAGGCTGCTAAGTGCTGGCAAGAGACAAAGAGATCACATTAATTCAATTAGCTTGCATTAATTATAGAACATAAACCACCCTGCATGTACTTCAGCAGTAAACACTGACCTTTACCTAAATAAGATATCCTGATGGCTTATGTATTGAAAATAATAATCCTTCTAAATTATGTTACTGTTACAGCCTGTGCAGAGCACAAAAAGGGAAGAGCTGTTGCTGTTGTGCAGCTGGAGAACTGAGTCACAGTGAAGCTGTGGGCAAGAAGGTAAGACTTTGCTAGCCTTAATTAAAGAATAACTTAGGTATTCTTTGCCTGAGCCTTACATCTTGCTGAGAAAATACTTACTGATGTACTGGGCTATGAAAAAATAAAAAAGGCTGACTTTTTTTCCCGCAGTTTGGTGCTCCTGATGCTACCTCTTCAAGCCTGTTTTATAACAGATGCAACACTAGCTGCCTTACTCCCTGTACAGTAATTTGGCTGGCATGTAACCAGAATCACAGTCGCATTCACTCTCTAATATAAACAATTTCTAAAGCATTTCCCTAACAGTGGCTAAATGTCCAATTACTGCGGTAAGAGTCAGGTGTATTTCAACTGAATCCCGAGCAGAAATTCATAGTTGTCGTTCCACATACACTGATGAAAACTAGATCCTTTAAAACATGAAAAATAAAATCTATGAAAGACTCGTTATCAAGCGCATGGTGAGCAGATATACCACCACCCACAGCATTTTAAGCTCCAGATGGGCAAGCCATTGTTTTTTTATGCTGGTTTTACAGAGACTGACTCTGCACCTGAAAAAGCCAGGTATTCTAATTTACCAGCTTACCTGGGTGAGTTTCATCTGGCAGTGTTTGCACTAGTTTAGAAAAAAATAATAATAAAGGAAGAGAAAGAGATTTACCAACATTTTATGAGAATCCAAGCAGCAAACTGAATCATATTTCATAGTATAAGCTACTGAAATCGTGCCAAAGTGGCAGCACTCAAACTGAACTATGCCTGTTCATGTTAGCAGTATAGTTCACACATCATTTTACAGGAGGGAGTCTGCACCCTCTCCCGGGTTCCCCATCCCCTTCTTCCCTCAAGTGCAGGGCCAGTTTCACAGAGCTCTGCTGGCTGCGCTTTCCATCAGGAACAGCCTCTGGGTCTTGTACAAGGGGGACAGGACAACACCTGGTACATTATACTTGGGTGGAAAATCCTAAGCAGCTCCACATCTTGCAAATGACCAGATCTGAAGGATTTTAAGAACCAGATGCAAGAAATTCAGAGAGGTTTTACTGCCATGGGAAACTGTTGATGAGGTATCACATCTAATGCAGAGTTTCAAATAAGTAACTAGTTTTATGTTATACTTTGCTATAGACCATTATCATAACATAGCCCTGAACTTGTTGGGAAAGTCCATGGTTCTCTGGTGCCATAGCCAATAGACGTCTAACTTACTTAAGTAAAAGGTGGAGGTTTTCAACAAAGAAAAATTGCAGACAAAAAAGACCGAGTCACAACTGTATCCCCGCTTTCTTAATTTCTAAATGCAATCACCGTTTTTCTTTTCAAAGCACTTGCAAACAGTTTGCACCATACACCTGTTCTGCCAATGCTGATGACTGCATGATTCAAACAGCAAAGCAAGTAATCTGTTTACTTTTTTTACACTTCCTTATGGTAAAGTCTCACTCATAAACTCCCTTAGGTCCAACAGCAGACCTAAGCATACACCCAGAAGACTGATACTGTCATACAGAGGGTTTCATAACAATAAATCATTACAGCTTCAAGAGCCATAAACAAGTCTAGATTATTAGCAGAGATTTAAGAGCATTGCTCTGATGTAATTAGAAAAAAGCATACTTTATGCTTTTCAGCTTTTTCTTAGCCACACCATCTTACCTTCTTTAGAACCAGATTTATTTTGGTTATGCTAATGTTTCTGCTTTATCAGTCCTTCACCACGAATATAGTCTTTAAAAACAGAGCCCACCAGAAGCAGCAGGGTGATACCATCTATCTCACTGTCAGCACATGATAACACACACATAAACCAGCAATTGATGAATCCATTGGTTTCTAACAGAATTGCTTTTTGCTGCTTCCTTTGTGGTCAGGTTTTGATTGATTTTAATCTAATCCTGGTCTAAATAGCTGTTGTTTTCTCAAGCCTGTTGGTCTTCTGCCTGACAGCTGAGACACATCACAGGATACTGGAAGATATAACCTCGCCTCAATACTATTACGAAAACCAGGTATCTCAGAAAAGAAACGCATCTGCTGCAACCTTCCAACAGCATGTGCAGGAGCAGGCAGGGAATGATTAGTTTTCAAAGAATCACTCACCATTTTCAGACTTCTGCAGGGAGTACTTGTAGTTGGTGGGATTTACAGAACTACTAGATCCCATGTTCTCCAACCAGTGCTTCTAGAATGTTGCAGACTGGCCCAGTATCACCAAAACCATGAAGGAGATGCAGGAAAGACCATTTGGTCAGAAGCAAAACAGCTGCAACATGTCCCACAGTGCCAAGAATCTATAATCAAATATATTAACACTTATTAAGATAAATGAGCAAATGGCCTGTCTTCTGCCCAAGAACACCTTCCACTACCAGGTTTTTCAAGCTACTTTGTTGTCTTCTAGACAATCTGAGGTAAGGGTTTCTGTCTTGCTGCTTCAAATTTCAAGTCGGCTATATAATTAGGAATCATTTCAGCACCTTTCCTAATTGTATTAAAATAACAGATTGCCTATCTAGCTGTTGCAATTGTTCAGTAGATGTATAAATCAGGAATTTATGTACTCTCACAATGCTTCATATGCCTAATTTTAGGCTCCTAAACTCTTAGCAATACAGCAGTCTTTGACGTGAACCTTCATTTCAGATGCTACAATAAAATAATCTTGATTGAGCTCTGAGAGCAGACTACACCTCTGAATCCTTATGCTACCTCGCCCCTTTCCTCATGCACAGCTGAAACACATGGATAGAAGTGCTAAAATACTACACATGACTCCATGTGGGAGGCATTTGTACACTGTATAGGAAAAAAAATGTTCAGGAACCATAAAAGTCATTAAAGTGCTTCATTAACAAACAGTATATGCATATAGCCATCTGTGAAGGATAACTCTTATTATGAGGGATGAACACACAAATGGTATTTAAATCTATTTGCAGTACCACAGCTAGAAGGGAGATAAGTCTAAAATAACAATTAGCTATCATAAGAAAATAATCAGCTTTGTTAAACACTACTTTCGTTCACCTCGTGGATCTGCTTGAGTGTGAGAGCATATTATGCCACCACTTGCTCAGATCCTGGACAGTATAAAAGGACAGGACAGCCAGACTTAGAATTCTAACTTCACTGCTAGGGAAAGCTTTGGTCAGAGCAAACGGATCCTGTTGCAAGATTAGGTCAAATACTGAAATCTCCCACTTTGAGGACAACCAAAGCGGGACAATCGTTCACGGTCAGACATATTTTCTCTGGGAGAAAAACCCAATCATGTACTACTGCCAAAGCAGTCCCAGGCTGTATCGCATAAAAATTACACAGATTTTTATTCTAACCTGGAAATGGGAGAGGAGAAAGCTGACAAAAGGAGGGAAGGAAATGAACACCTGTAAAATGTTAAACCTGGTGCTAGCAGGAAACCACAGCTCAAAGGATTTTGAAGGGTCAGGACAGTGTGACTACAGAGGCATTTATCCCCAGCAGAGGGAAAAGCCTTTCTCCTTTTTCCACTTCCCGCAATCCTTTTGCTTCTTTCAATTTCTTTCCCCCTAACCCACATCTTTCCTCTCAAAATAGCTGCAGATCTGCACAAACACTAATTCAAGGAACACTTCCAATGTTGTATAAGATGCATGTGTGCAGTGTTTGCTCAGGAAGATGAGCTGTGCTAAGCAACATTTCAGCATGGAAAGTTTCTAAGGCAGATGAAATGTTGAAATGCTCTATCTTGCCCAGGATTCCAAATTGCACAATGGCATTTTCACAATAACTGGGTGATGCAACAGGAGGACACATAGCAATGCTCTCAACAAAATACCAGTCACTATAGTTTTATTCTAACATTATTTCATACCAGTGTCAAAAATTACCTGAAATCATTGCTGAATTATGCCCAACTACATACAGTGCTTTATGGCCTTTGTGCATAAATAATGAAGGTTCTCTGACACCTTTTCTGATTATTTACTACTCAAATGGACAACCGCACACAAAAATCAGAATCCCCAGCATTTAAGGCTCTTATTTGTAACCTCCTGTACAAGGCAAATCCCATTTCAGGAAAAACAAATTTTCAAGCTCAGAATTTCTGAGTGTAGACTTATAACTCCCATCTGGCTATCCAAACAAAAACGTCTCTTCAAAGACATAGATCTGAAGATTTCAGCAAGTGTCAGCTATCCAGAGAAGGAGTGATGCAAATTATTTGCTCTGTATCAGGAGCTTGCTTTAGAAACAATCATCCTCACTGACTGCATTCTGGTATAACCTGGCAGGGCAGTCCAAAACAGTGCGAGGCAGGTTCCATTCAGATGAAATGGTGTCATGATGAAATGACACCAGCTACCCTGAAACGTGGTTAGTGTAGACAGCTTTTCCTCCACCGTGGAGGTCAGCACACCCTGCATGCCTAGCTGTACCTTCAGTGCTGCTCAGGAACCTGACTGTACCAGCTTGAAAGAAAAATGGATGCTTCAGGTTTTTGGAAGAGGTGAGTGACTTTAAGGATACCCTTAAAAAAGCAAACATGAAGAAAAAAAATCCTTTTTCAGGAACTGCAACACTTCCAGGTCACTTTTAAGAAATGGAGGACAAATTTGAAGCAAGTGCATAAGTACAGAGTTGGGTACTTTGCTTGCTTAGGCTGCATTCAGGGGTACTGCCTATCTGTTCTGATAAAATGTGACCTTGGATTTGAGAACACCTTTGGAGACACAGAATAAAATTTTTCCATATTTCCCTCCTTCCCTGCAAAACAAACAAGCATTTGTTATTTGAACAGCCCTACTTCAAATATAAATTTTGGCCATCCATTCCAAGGGATGGTCTAGTATTAGTGTGCCCTAGGAGCACGTGCAGAAAGCAAGTACAGGCGACGGCACCTACCTATTTATCTTATCGTGAACAGTCTTGTCAACAAGCCTTTCCCAAACAATTCCCGGAGCTGAGAACTTTTACACTTTGTTACTCAGATTTTTCTGAGGGCCACAGCCTGAGGAAAGGAGTGCACAGCAGTAAGCCGGAGACCCCAGTGGAATCAACCTGTTTCAAGGGTGGGTGGAGCGAGGAAGAAATAGAGCCAGTTCAACTGCTCAGCGCCCCTGATCCTTCCTCATCCACCCAACAGTGATATGCACCCCTCCCCTTCCTAAAATCCTGTACCTGAGAAAAAGAAAAGGAACAGAGGCTCATAAAGACAGCCTGGAAGACTTGATGGACAATGAACCGTGGTATCACCTTAAATATTGAAGCTGTATTAAACAACCTGGTGAGACAAAATGATGCTGCTAGAAACAGCCAGCTACTGACAACTCCTTTCTCATCTTGCTCTACCCTCCATGCCCCTCCTGCAGAGATGTTTAAATTTTCTCTGGTGCAGCTAGAAGACCTCTGAAACAGGCTTTCCTCATGCCTTCTGAGAAGCTGCAATACATTCACCTGAGGCTCTCCCCTGGTACGTGCCACTGCAAGGAGCATCTGCTAGCAAACATGCATGCTAAGTAAAGCAAGGTGATAGAACTTGCTGCATGGACCTACAGCAGGGCCAAACTAAACCACCACCAAGAAAAAGCATGGATTTAAGAGCCACACATGGGCATAGACAACTAATGGAACAACAAAGTTCAGTGCCTCAGTAGAAGACCACAGACATGTAGAAAGATGCATGTTCCCTGTTCACCTGAGTTAGTATTCTAAAGGCAGGAGAAACAGCCACACTCCACATATACCTCCCAAGCCAAAGGATGGTATACTTGTTTCTGCAATGCTTAAAATACAAGCTGATGATTCATTTAATATTACCCTGCAATACCACATAAAACTTATTAAAGGAAAACTCGCACAAATCCATTTGTGTTAATCACCCCAAAACAACAAAAGCCTAGGTAACATTCCTGGCTTATCATAAAAAAGCAAGTGACAGCATTTTGAATCAAATCCTACACACTCAATCACATCACTGAGTTTGTCCACATTACAGATCTGTACAAATTTGGTGCTCCAACCGCTTGAATCAAAGGATTCCTGCAAGAAACACCAAAGCTAACATGAAACCAACTCCAAAGCAACAGGGCTCCTAGGAAAGATGACACACTTCACCTATAACATGTACAACTGAATCCTCACTAACTTGACAATTTTATAGACATTTGAACAACAGAAAGAAGAAATGAGCAGAATATGGAAGGCAATCAGAGGATATACCAGGCTTACTGAAAATTTACTAGGAAAAAAGCTGAGATGTCAGAGGAAAACTGAAATTTTACATTCTGCTAGAAGGAAAAACAGCAAGAGTTTAAGAGCTACAGATTAATTAGAAAAAAAATACGGTACTTTACCAAAGAATAAAAATGCTAGCTAGCACTAGGGAAAGTGATGATCCTGCCGTGCCCTCCTAAATACCTGTGTGTACATCCCACGTGTACATCAGACTTGGCAAGTCTCATAGCTGGAAACGAGGTGGTGGTTTCTATTTTACGCATGCATCAACCTCTGCACCTGCACCAGTTACTGCAGTGCCAAAAAGAAGAATTTCAGATAAAAACCTCCCAACTGCAGTTTTGTTCATCTTGACATATAAAAAGGATGTTCACCTCAAACTATGGGTGCTGAGTAACTACTTCTGAACACGAATTATTATTACGGAGAAATAAAAAGAAAAATGTAACTTACCTTGCCACCAATTTCTAACTTATGGATTTATTAAGATAAACACAATAAAAGCTCTCCACTTTTAAAATTTTTGATTCTATTCAATAGCAAAGTGATCAATAATCTCTGAAGTGATTTGATTACAGATTCAGAAACTCCTCCTCCAAATCTAAATAATCAAGTAAGCTGTTCCCTTGGGCACACAGCAGAAAGGGCCATGTCTTTCAGCACCTGCAGTATAGGGTGTGTGTCCTGTTCTGCAACAAGTGCAGACCCTTCGATTTATTTACTGCACAGTTCTTTTGAGCAGCCTTAAGAATCCTCTGCCACGTGATGCTTAAGAAAGGCTACAGATCTGAAATGGATTAGGATTACTGGAGAGGATTATGAACAAGAAATACAGTATGTTGGGACTCTCTTATCTATGAGTCAGCTCTTACACAGTTTCACGTTGCCTTTTGCTCAATGCAAATTTCTGGAGGAAGAAGAATTAAAGGTTTCACCCATTGCCTATGTTGGGCTGAAAAATCTTCTCTGTTTTGTAGCTAGGGAATCACTACTACAGAAACAAAAGGATGGAAGAAGCAGGGATAATGTCTTAGTTCTATTTAATTACTTAACAATTCTAAGTCATGAATCTGACCAAGCTTGAGAAAGCAGAAAAGCTGTTTTACTTCCCAGTCTCTAAAAAGTGAACACACAAAGCAGGTGAAATCTCCCAACAGAAGGATGCTTTAGCAAGCAATTCAAGTAACTACAAATAATCCTTTTTTTAAAAAACAAACAAGATCACACGAAACACCCAAGCTGTCCAAAACTAATCAGTGCTCCATTTTAATGTTTCCAACATTGTTATGGTTTTATTTTTTAAGTATTAACAATCCTCGTCCCTCTGAATTTTTATCAAGTTTCAATTCTTACACAAAAGTAGCTCAATGCATTTCACAGGTTAAATCATCTAGTTTATAAGATGCATCATTTAACACTTTCTTAGTGTTTATATTTTTAGATTGTCAGTAAACTAAGACCAGAAAATTATATATCCTTTTGGTTAGCAAAAAAAGTATTCAAGTTGGCATAAAGGCTTTGTGGGCAATCAGGATGTCTGTTCTTTTATAAATAGTTAAGAAAATAATGTAAAAGAAAAAACCAAAATAAATTAGACTTCTTCAAATCCCCAACAACACCCCCCCCATTTCCATAATCTGCTCTGTGGCTGGGCCTGAGCAAATTCTGAACAGCCGATAAGACAGAAACACAACAAGAGCAGACAATTTTTTCCTGAATATTCATGGCTACTAAATATTTATACGCTCCAGATCTGTTTGTACATATTGAAACAAACACATTTGATTAAATTTAGGTACCTCTGAGAATCTGGGCACATCCCTGCCAAAATATAATCAGCCTAACACTGCTGAGGTCAAGAAAGCTATGCAAAGTTACACCTGTAAAGATGCTTTTGTCTTTACTTGTGGGCAGCTATTATATAAAGAAAGCCTGCTGAGATCAGGAGTCAGCATCTGCTCTGTGAATTAAAGCAATATAATTCTGAAATCTCAACGATATCGTGACCACTGTTATTTACATCTTCCTCCAGGAACTCTCCATTTTTCAAATTTATCATTGTGGCATACAACTGCTAACATTATTGTCCAAACCGGGTCAAAGCAAAGCTTGCAGCACATTTATCTAGGCAGAGGATGCAAATAAGCAGGTTATGACACTCCGTCAGACTCAGCACAAGGAGATAAAGGGGCCAACATCTCCAGAAGGCTCTCTCAGGAACAGTTTGCATAACCAGTGAACAGATACTGCAGGCGACACTGCACGTAGCTAGAAGTGGTGCTCTGGCCTAACGCTCTGATCACACCTTCTTCTCTCACATAAAATTCTCACTGGCAGTAGCAGGAATTTTGTCCAGTGAATAATGGGACCTCAAAGCTTTATATGAAGGTATCCACTGGTCTTGACTCTTTCAATCCTTCTGTATTTCTGGAGTGCTCCCAAGAAGTGCCTGAATTCAATATGCAGTCACAGCACAACCCGACAAACAAATAAACAAAATCCTCTGCACTATAGAACTTAGCTGTAAACTTTCTATTGAAGGCAACTTTCAAATATATAAAACCATCCCTTTTCTAACCTCACTGCTGTTCCATCACAAGTTTCTCTTATTTATTTGGGGGAAAAAAGCCTGTATTATCACACCTCCTAAACCAGCCCTATTTCTGATGAATAAAGCACCATAGCCTACACCTATGCATGCAGTGGTCAAACCCTGGAATAGGCTTCCAGGAGAGGTGGTTGATGCCCCGAGCCTGGGCAGTGTTTAAGAGGCATTTGCACAATGCCCTTAACAACATGGGGCAACTTTTGATCAGTCCTGAAGTGGTCAGGCAGTTGGATTAGGAGAGCATTGTAGGTACCTTCCAAGTGAACTATTTATTCTATACTCTCAATCACCTGTCACAAGCCTACTAAAACCAGCTGAAGAGTCTCTGCACCAGAGAACCACAGCTGAAGGGGAGACTGCCTGCAGTGGAATGCACACTATGGAAACTCACACGCCTCTGCACTGACACAGTAATTTCTGTGTTGCAGAAGGTCCCACAGAGCATCTCAGGACAGGATGTCAGATCAACAAAAGCTTAAACAGTACCAGGACCTGGAGTGACCCTGTTCTGTCATTACAACAGGGTTCTGCAGAGCTCTGGCCTGCCTGCTGCCCCAGACCACTTCTCTCTGGGCACAACATCTGACCCTGTTAGGCTTATGATCACGAGCCCCTCACAGATCAGGGAAAAGCATGATGACATTAGGAATAACAGCACAGGTCTTCATAAATCAAGTGATCAGCTGCATATTTTTATTTAATTATATTCAGACCTACAGGCCATGCAAAATATATGATTTTATTAGTCAGCACATGAGTACATTCAAGTTGCACAATTCTTTCCAAAACCAGTAAAAGCAATTTTTAGCCATCAACATCTGCTACAACATCAATGTAATTACAATAAAATCAATCAAACTTCCATTACAGTTAATTTAACAGTGTCATCTGCAACACTTCAAAGAATTAACAAGTCATCATTTCCTGAATGGTTCACATAGTTAATAAGCCAAAACAACCGTAGGGCTTGTGAGAGTGATTTTAAAAGCACATGCCAGTCTTGGAAAGCAGCCTTCCACTCATTTTGTCTGTTGAAATAAGAAGATAGATAAATAAGAGAGCACAGGTTTGTATAGAACTAAGAAACAAACTCTTCAGAATCTCTAAACAAAAGGAACTACTCTTGCTAAAATCAAATGTCCTATGTAACTGCTACAAATATAGTATCATAAGAGTTTAAAAACCTCTGGAAATTCAAACTGGAATGCAGCTTCTTGTGCTCTTTACAAGACCACACACCCTTTCCTGGAATAGAAATAAACATCTTTCCCTGAACACCTTAAAGCTACCATGTGAGGCACCTTGTGAGTTCAAGCACTTAAGACTTTTTCTGCAAGTTCACAGGACAAAACCTTCAAAGGATGCTAATGTTCAGTTGCCTGGGAGTGGCTGTTCCAAATTAAGCTTGATCTTTCTTGGTGCCAAATGCAGCAACCCCTCCCGCTGGGATTCAGCTCACTCTGGCCAGGTTTCCTCTCATAGTCAACACCTGGAGACATGCAAGGGTAGTGGGGAATAATAGAAGTAATAGCTAAAATGCTCACAGAAGGAACTTCTACCTTTAGGTCACAACACCACCCACCCCTTCCTCTCTGATAAAGCACTTCTCCTAAAATAACCTCCAAGAGTTTTGCAAAGAAAGTCAATACTTTATCTCTAAAACAACAAGGGAAGGTGTTTACCCAAGGTTGATAAGCAAACCAAGGGGAGAATCAGGAATTCAGACTAGGTCACTCGACTGCCACAGCAGTGCTTTGTCCCTCAATGACTCTTCAGCTGAAATTTTTATTTAAGTACAAGTATCTAGGAGTACCAGCATGCTACTTACACCTCTTCACTTCACAGTTCTGATCCATGTCTGGTACTTATCTGGAAGTGCAGCACTCATTACTGTGGTATACACTGTGTTACTGGCAGGGAAAGAGGAAAAGAGTGAGTGAGTGACATTCCAAAAGCAAGAATAATTTACAGAACTAGCAAAGCAGCAGAACAAATTTTAGTGGAAACAAACATTCTGCTTAGGTACTGAAGGGTTAGAAAAAGTAGGAAAGAGAATGATAAAAACGAAGGCTGCTGGCACAAATTCTTAGTATTTTTTTTCCGCAAATTAGTATAGCAAAGGAACTGTACTTCAACATCCATTTGATCACTGTATTAAACAATTAGCATTGTCGATCTTAGCAGTGACAGATATCATCTTCTCTTTCCCAAATTTTCTCACATTTTTAAGACAGAGGAGAGAAAGTCCTGGTATTAACCTTCTAATACAAATGACTGATCCAGAGCTCCATTTAAAAATAAAACAAAACACAGGTGCAATTTGTGAAACAATGCAGAACAATAATGGTATACTGAAATAAATCTCTCTTAAAAATCCAGTAAATTGTACCTAAAGGCTATGTCCCCATTTACTATTTTTTTCCTTTTTACACATCAAGCAGAACTACATCAGAAACTCCAGAGAAAGTAATTATCAGTGTTAACACAAACCCGAAGGTTCCAAAAGTAAAAGGCACAAATGACTTGGCAGAAAGTCCAGCTGCTCCTCTAAGCAGTCATTTGTTTCACTACTACAGCGGAACTTCCCATTATTAGACTGAGCCTAACAAAGTGTAGTTTCTTGGCTAGAGTGGCAGACAAAGAGAAAGGGTGCTGTGGAAGTGAAAACAGAGTGCCATGTGCACAAGCAGAAATCTAAACTGGGAAACCACAAGATACTCAAGACAGAGGTATAGGAAGATCCTAAGGAAGTTTTTGATTAACTTTTAAGTGGCCCGAGGCATGGCAGGAGGCACTCATTAACACCTCTGAATCTAATACTTACTTGTTTAAGACTGGCTTCACTGACAACACCTGTACAGAAAGTTTGAAGAGTTGTCATTTTGGTAAATGAAGAGGGAGTTAAAAGCCTATTTAGAAACAGCAGTAGGATGAAGTTATGAAAAGGAATAATGCAAAGTCAAGGATTTATCTTGCTGGTTTTTTTGTTGTTTTTTTTTTTTTAAACATCAGAACATTTTACAAGTGTTTTTAAAAAGCCCTCGGAAATACGCAACACAAGTTCTCAGAACTAACTGGTAAATATCACTCATGTCTAACACTTTATCTACCTGCTGTA